AATTTAAGGCTCCTGACTATTCAGCCAAGAACTCTGCATTGACGGTGGCGACACAGTATCAGACGGCGGTCTGGCAAAATCGGTAGCCACACACTTAAGCACGATCCCATGTCCGTGTGCTCGCCTGCGATATATGTGTGTTACAGCGCCACACCATGATAAATGGCCGAACTTATAGGCGTGGAAAAATGACATTTTGACCAGTTTTGACGACGAAATTTGTGCACAATGCCATTTCGTTATTATTTGCTTAATTGTGAAAATGTGACTTGTTTCGTACTTCTCAAAGTCGTAATTTTCGATGACAACTAAAGTTATCTTGGAATTTTATACATAAAAGTGTATATTTAACTCGTTTCAACAGTTATGAAACCGTATGTTTCTGCCAGAATATAGGCTTACTTTACAAGTTTTTTTATGACCATTTACTGACTATCAAGGGAGAAAAGGACAGTTTTCATCGATTTTTACAAGTGTTTTAAAGCAAACCCATCTTTTAATTTCATCCAAATTGTCTCTGTTTACAAATGGCATCGTGCATAAATTAACGTGTCATTCCTTGCTTCTGACGTCACGATTCCAACATGGCCGCCGCGACTACTCAGTGGCCTTAATAAAAGTTATGAATTAACTTAAATTTAAAAAAAAGTTAATTCTGAAAAAAATTATTTTTGAGATCAAAATTTCCTAATTTTCCTTAAAATAAGATTACTTTAAACAACACTTACAAATATAGATTATTAGGTAAATTTAATTTTATATTCACATGTAAGTTACTTATATATAATAAGAGTCACACCACATAAGGCGTTTTAGAAAAAATCTTGCGAGAGAGAAGGGTTTATGTTTGCGGCATTTCTCTTTCTTTAACCTGTATCTAACTTTCTTTAACTTCTGAAACGACTGCTCATGCATGTTTACGACTACATCGACTAGATATTTGTTACAAAAAATATACGTAAAAATTTAGAAAATGGGTGGATATGCATACTGTTCTACAACAATTCTTCATCTAATGCTCATTTCATATTTATGTTACTGATATAACATTTATAATGATACCTAAAATTAGTGTGATTTAAATATAAGCGGGAATTGATAAAACCTAGCGAGTCAATAAAATGCCGTATGGTGTAGCTCTTATTATAGATCTCATCATAAAATCATTGAACTTTTTCTAAATTAATTCTCTAATGATTTTAAAAGAAAAAAATATTAGCATTAAAAGACATAAAAAAAATTTTAATTTAAAAAAGTTAATAAATTAAAGTTGAAAAACAACTAAATTTAATAAAACAACTAAATCAATGCATTTAAAATGAACTAAGTTAAGTTAAAAGTTATTAACTTTTTAACTTTTTTTTTAACTTTTAACGTTTTAACTAGTTACTATCCAACCCTGGATATAGTCATACGCGAAATATTGATGTAATCGACTTGGCATTAAAGCACCACGTCATTATATCTTCATGATCCCTTCGCACTCAAGTTACATGCTCCAGCCACTCGATAAAACATTCATGGGTGCTTTTAAAACCTATTATAGCGAAGAAATTCGTATGTAGATACGCAATAATACTCGTCCTCTCTCAGCTTTTGACAGCAGAGCTTTTCAAGAACGCATACGTTAAAGTACAAACAGCCCTTATTGCAAATGGGTTCCGTGAAACTGGTATCTAACCATTTAACAGAAATCTTTTTACTAGTACCGATTTTATTTACTCGGAGAACGCCACTGAAGAAATTCGTCAGATCCACGTTGTTTCTGTCCAATAAGGAATTGAAGAAGACTTATTTTAAACCAAATTTCAAGCACAGCTAGGCAACAGAAAACGATCACGAGAGAGCAGAAATTGACAAAGAGAACTTAAGTCCATCCTTGCCCAGTATCTCAGAACCGTCAACTACTTGCCAGGAAAGGTTGTAAGTCCAGAAGAAATTTCGCCAGCGCCAAAAATTATTCGAAAAGACAGCACTCGAGATCAAAAACGAACAAAAAGTTCTATTATCTTATTAATACTGTCGAAAACCGCGAGAAGTTAGCCGGTGATACCGAAAATACAGTTAAAATACAGACAATACCATCTGTGAAATGAGGCCGTAAATAAAAATCTCCAGCAACTCAGATTAAAGCAGCTCTAAGACCGGAATCAGATTATGCACTAAAGATTGAGATTGAAGATTAAAGATTAAAATTTCACCAATGAGGACATAGAAATTCTGACTCTTTTTGTTCTGATGGTCAAACTTCATTCTTTCAATCTTCAATCTCATTCTTCAATGCATAGACTGATTCCGGCCTAACTCCACGCCACGACCGCGGTTGCTCACGCTCTAGCTCTTCAACCATGAAATTTAAAGTTCCTGACTTGAGTGACTCGGATGACAAGTATCGCAAACAGCTAAAATTGAATGACGAGTGCATTTTTTGCGACGGTTCGATTTGAACCATCCTCAGACGAGTTCTGGGTCGAGTGCATCGTATGTTTACACTGGGAGTACACTGACTGCGCTGAAAATATTGGATATAAATGGATCTGCGACTTCTGCAAATAAGTTTTTTCATTATATTTTATAATATTTGTATTTGAGAATCATTAAATAAAGTTTTTCAATTCCAGCACAGATATATTTTACACTTTATTAACCATTTTTCGGGGTATCTCATATTAGGAGCACAATTTTCTGACTTTGCGATTCGATCATCTTTTACATTCTTCTAATTTTTTCAGAGAGAGAAAAAATAATACTTAAATTAAATTTTACATTACAGTATCTTAAAGCTTATTAAATTTCCTTCAAGATGACCTACTATTATTTAAAATTCTGGCCATAGACATCCAGTAATTATACAAAATGAATTCGGTATCTCATATTAGGAGTCTCTTCTCTATACATATATTAATCACTTTTTAAACTTCTAATTAAAACATTAGTTTATTTTGATAAAAATAAAATTTCTGAAGAGCACTAATTTATTGGTTAAAACATAAATCAATACGACTTGTTCTTAATTTTGATTGTGCTGTATACAAATAAGCTATTATGTCCGAGTTCTCGTCCGGATGATAATTATTGTAGTCGCGCTCCTGCGCGCCTATACCAACAGGATTTTAGATAAAGAAAGAAGAAATCCTTCTCTGCGCCTGCGCGGCGCCTGGCGCGTGTGGCGCCCGGCGTGTGCCTCGCTCGCGCCATCAGCCTCGTTGTGTTTCCTGTTGCGCTTTCCAACAGTACGCGCAGTAGTCAACAGTGTTTATTTCAGTTTTTTCCTTAATATTATACCTCGCGATGCCTAGAGACAGGCACAGAAACCGCTCTAGGTCTCCTAGAAGATCCTCGAAAGCTCGCAGAACCCGGTCTCGTTCCCTGGGCCGTGCTCGCTCTTCGAGAGCACGGTCGCGTTGTGATTCTCGAATCCGTTCAAGGCGGTCGTCACGAAGCTCGTCGCAGGAGAATTCCATGATGGCCGCTGTCCGAGAATCGGCGATGCTGGAAAGATTGGTGCAACTTGTGGAAGATCAGGCGAAACGTATAGACAAGATCGAGGTTAGGTTACCCGACGACAGTCGTCACCCGGACGTTTCATCGCCGCAACCACTTCGAGCATCTCATCAGCGGTCGGGGGAACAGACGGTTTCCTTAAACCGGGGCTCTGTACCAGGTAAGCCCTCTCAGCGACCCCTTGCGTGCTCGGCACCATCGGCATAGAGGGGGGCTAATCCGATGTGTTCCCCCAAAGCACCCCTTTTTTCTATGACGGTTCCGTCTGTTTAGATTCGCCTCCTGAGAACACAGGGTGTGTTACCTTCGTCGAAAGTCAGACTGAAGAGCCTGCGGTTCAGACTTTGTCGTCCCTGGCTTCAAAGTTGTTCGGTCCCAAGGGCGACACGAAAGGAGACTCAAATTGGGAACCACAGATGTTTGAATCGGCCAATGGCATTGTTCACTCGGGCTTGAACGCCGAGGAACGGAATAATTTACTTACCACGTATACGGTTAAAGAAAGTCTAGCTTCACTGGGTCCACCGAAATTGAATAAACTTATTCTAGCAACATAAGGTCCAAATTCATCTGTTTTAAAAAGGGACGAGCATCAAGCGGCTTCTCAGTCGCAAGTCGCAGCCTGTCTAAATGCTCTAGGCACCGGCCTCTCCACCCTCATGACCTTGGAACCAACGCTGCTAGGCTCGGCGGAGACGGCCATTGGCCAGATAGCGCACGCCGTTCTGTTACTAGCAGATCTTCAATATCGGCTATCTTTACACAGACGTGCCTTCATTAAACCAATCTTAAACTTATTAGGTAAAACTACGGCAGACTCTGCCCCAATAGACGAATGGCTCTTCGGAACCTCGTTCGCAGAGGATATAAAGGACGCTCAAGCCTGCGAAAAGGCGGGACGCGGCCTCTTGAAGACCACACCAGCCACAAGTAAAGCAGTCAAGCATCAACCCTTGAGACAACTGCAGATTAAACAGGCCACGTCTGCGGGAAACGAGAAGGCCCCTGCTCAGAAGTCGTCACAGAAGCCTCGAGTGGGGGCCAGGTCCTCGAGAAAACCACCCCGGAGATCAGCGTCCCGCTCCCGTTATCACCGCAGATAACTACGGTAAGAACGGCCGGTCGCTTAGCATCTTTCGTCCATCGCTGGGAGAGTCTGACCTCGGACCCGGTCGTGCTGGAGGCAGTGCGAGGTTATATGATACCATTTACCGTCGCCCCCCCAGCACGACCGTCGTGTAATCAACCCACATTTTCGCGATTAATATCTCTTGCCTGTGACGAGAAAATCAATCGTCTTCTTAGGAAGGGGGCTATCTATATGGTAGATCCGTCAGTGGACCAATTTTTGTCGACCTTTTTCCTCATTGAAAAGGCATCCCGGAGGAATGCGTTTCATTCTAAATCTGAAAGATTTAAATCAATTTTTAGATCCCCCCCATTTTAAGCTGGAGGACTGGCGCATCGTAGTCCGTCTCATGCTCCCCGTAGTGTACATGGCTTCAATTGACCTTGAAGAAGCTTACCTGTTAGTAAGTATTCATCCTAGTCACAGGAAATTTCTTCGCTTCCAGTGGCGGGGATCTACTTTTGAATTTGCAGCACTCCCCTTCGGCCTAGCTACGGCTCCATTTATATTTACCAAGATCCTTCGGCCAGTTCTAAGGTCGCTACGAGAGAAAGGATTCGAGAGCGTAGTCTACCTCGACGATTTCCTGCTATTTTCGCCTTTTAAACAGGCATGTTACAAGAACATCCAAATGCACGTGGATACACTAACGGAACTGGGATTTGTAGTTAATTTTGAAAAATCAGAACTAATTCCAGATGTTCGTAGGAAATACCTCGGTCTCATGTTCGACTCGGTGCGACAATCGGTGTCCATTCCAGAATCCCGGCGTAAAAGTCTTCTTGCGAAGCTTATCAATATGGAGAAAAAACCCTCTTGTACAATTAGAGATTTTGCCAGCTTGATCGGCTCACTAATATCTGTGTGCCCGGCGGTGCAGTATGGCCTCTTGTATACGAAAACCCTTGAGAGGGAGAAATTCCACGCCCTGTTACGCTCGAATTCCGACTTCTCGGCCAAGATGTGCCTGCCATCGTCCCTCCGAAGCGATTTTCTCTGGTGGCATAGAATCTTATCCGATCCGGAACAATTGAATACAATCCGCTCAGGCCAATTCACACTCGAATTATTTTCAGATGCCTCTCTAAACGGTTGGGGAGCGGCCAGTGGTATGCAGCGTTCACATGGTTGGTGGACGACAGAGGAGAGAGCCCTTCACATTAACGCCCTGGAACTGAAGGCGGCCTTTATCGGTTTGAAGTGCTTTGCCGCGGATCTGAGAGACGCAAACGTCTTACTTCGCATTGATAATACGACGGCGATCTCATACATCAATCGCTATGGGTCGGTCAAATTTCCTCATCTCACAGCTTTGGCCAAGGAGATCTGGCAGTGGTGCGAAAGCAGGAATTTATTTTTGTTCGCGTCTTACATTTCCTCGGCGGACAACTTCATAGCCGACGAAGAATCTCGACGCACGGATGTTGATACAGAATGGTCTCTGTCTGCCTCCGCTTTCGACGTCATCCGCCAAAGATTTGGCCAATTTGAGATCGACCTATTCGCTTCTATCCTGAACGCGAAGTGTGAACGTTATTTATCTTGGTTCCCGGACCCTGGCGCTTGGGCGGTCGATGCCTTTACCATCACCTGGAATTCGGTCTTTTTCTACGCTTTCCCGCCTTTTATTCTGATCACTCGAGTCTTGCGGAAAATCGTAGATGAATCTGCAGAGGGAGTTGTAGTGGTTCCCTGATGGCCTTCCCAGCCTTGGTTCCCACTCTTCCAGCGCCTCCTTGTCTCAGAACCGACAATCTTCGCCCCAACTTACGATTTGCTGTCTGCTCCCCTTAGGGATCATCACCCGGCCCATCGAACACTTTCCTTGGCAGCCGGACTCTTATCAGGAGATTTTTCGAAACTCGGGGGGTCCCGGACTCCGCCCTAGATACCTGCTTGGCTTCTCTAGCCCCGTCAACAATCCAACAATATACCAGGCCCCTACGCGACTGGTGGAATTTCTGCCAGAATCGCCAGCTCTCGCCTTTTACTCCCACAGCGGGAGTAGCCTTGGAATTCCTCGCCTTGGCTTTGGAGTCGGCCGGTTCCTATTCATCAATCAACACAACCAGATCAGCCATCTCATTGATCTCGCCAAATTCAGTCGGCGAAGACCCTCTTATTAAACGTTTCTGCAAAGGAGTAAGCGTTATCAAGCCTCAGCGTCCAAGATACGATTACGTCTGGGATCCCGCTCCCGTAATCAAGAAATTAGCCTCGGAATTTCCTCATCAGAATCTCCCCTTGGATAGGCTTACCAGAAAGCTCGTAATGCTTCTCGCATTAAGCACAGGACAGCGCTGCCAAACTCTCGCAGCAATAAAGATTTCACAAATTACTTTTGAAGAAAATCGGGCACTCATTCGGATTCCTGACAAATTAAAAACTTCCGCGCCGGGAAGGCCTCAGCCGCTTCTGTCCATACCTAAATTTGGAAATCACGAGGAACTTTGCGTCGTAGGCTTACTGTCTATATACACCGAGAAGACCAAGGACATCCGCCCACCTACATGTGATTCCCTGCTGATCGCACTGAAACAACCGCACGAAGCAGTGGGCGCTCCAACAGTCAGCCGTTGGCTTAGAACTACACTGTCCGAATGCGGAGTAAGCGACGCCTTTTCGGCTCATAGTACACAACATGCAGCGACCTCTAAAGCTGCAAACAAGGGAGTTCCACTGGAGCTGATCAAGAAGGCAGCAGGCTGGTCAGGGGAATCGCGAGTATTCGCTAATTTTTATAATCGCCCTCTCATCAACTCAGAGGCATTTGCCTCATCTGTTCTCCTTACAGATTTAGAGTCACATTAATTAAGTCTGTATCTTCTAGTGATAAATATAATTTTTTGTGATCTTGGGTTTTTAGCCATTGCGTATTCTTCCTGCCCGAGTCTTCGGAAGACCCGGATTGCAAATCGTCCTCTGAACATCCTACAATAATTATCATCCGGACGAGAACTCGGACATAATTTATAGATTAAATGAACTTACCTAAGTGAAGTTCGATCTTAATTATGTCCTGGGTTCTCGTCCGGATGAGCTTCCCCCCCTAGTTTGGTTTCCCACCCAAGAGGTGCTAGGCGTTTTGCGAGACTTTAAAATATGAGGCTGATGGCGCGAGCGAGGCACACGCCGGGCGCCACACGCGCCAGGCGCCGCGCACGCGCAGAGAAGGATTTCTTCTTTCTTTATCTAAAATCCTGTTGGTATAGGCGCGCAAGAGCGCGACTACAATAATTATTATCCGGACGAGAACCCAGGACATAATTAAGATCGAACTTCACTTAGGTAAGTTCGTTTAATCTATAAATTATTTTATATTTTATATTGGCAATAAAGTTATATTAGTAAAAATATAGATAAAAACGTTTTTCTATCAAGATTACACATTTTATGAGCTTACACGACCAATTTTTATGAAACAATAAAATAAAAGTATATTATAATGTTGAAATATACTTAAAACAGATCGTTTTAAATACCGGTTAAATATTGTTTGTTTTCTTAGATGTATGTTACTCACAAAAAATCTAATATATGTACAATCTATCGTGATTTATTTGACATAATTTTTAATTAAAATATAGTACAACATATACGTACGTGTATGCACATGCAAGCACAGATGAGAGAAACACAATGTTCCTATTTTATACATATGTATTATAATATATATATATATTACGTATTTTTTTTGTTATTCATCGTGCATAAATCATGATACTAACCGATTTTGTAATACATTCATATATATATGTATATATCTATATAATATAATTCACTTATCTACTTATTCATTTATTATTAAAAGTAATCCTATAATGATACAAAAAGCAATTTTACACGACTGTCAATGTAATATGTAATACTACGGGTGTGTGTGTGTGTATGTGTGTGTGTGTGTGTACGCGCGCGCGCGCGTGCATCCGTGTGTGTGAGGAGAGGGAATTGTGAAAGAAAATAAAGAAATAATAGTAGTAATATACTGAAAATAAATAAAAATCAAATGATAGCATAATATTGATAATAATAGTAATTACGATATATGTAATGTCATAATTAGTTAAACATTAGTTATACATTAAAGTTAAAGTTGGCATTCAGAAAATATTTATATAAAGAATATTTGTAATACACTTTATAGTAATTATATTAACAAAATCATAGAACAAGAGAAAAGTCTCTATAAGATCTAATTCGGTTCAATTTGAATTTTATTTTAAACTGTCAGAAGTTTTACTATTATAAAAATTATAGAAATAAGGTGATTTTTAGCTTAAACACCTATATGTACTTGACATCTATTTATTCTGTAATTAATTAGTCCCATTTTTATCATTTTTACCATCAATATTCAGGGACGCGTTCAGATTTCCACCCGAGTGCTACTCCAGTGAGAAATGACAATGGAATCGACGTCGAAACGATTCTATTGTCATTTCTCACTGGGATTCAAGTGTCATTTTATCCTTATTGCTCACGGAATGTTAAATAAAAATGATAACATGATACCCGGGGAGCACTCGGGTGGAAATCTAAACGCGCCCCTGAATGTTGACACTTGGAAATAAACAAAATCACGCGCAAAGTCACGAGGTTCTCATAGTCATATCAGAATCAGACAAATGCTCAATGTTTTTTGAAATTGATTCATCAATACATAAGCTGCGTTCGCTTCAGGCGCTGTACGCATATTCTATCTAGCGCTCACTACATATGAAAAAAATATAGAATGAAGCTTATAGAACATGAACGTCCAAAAGTGTACCTATAGACAATGAAAGAATTCCGGTGATGTTGTTCGCCTTGTATTGTAATGCTGTGAAAAAAAGCTAAGGATGTATTAATTAATAAATCAACCAAAAATAATAAAAAAGCCTACATCAGTTGTTCGGATGCACAGAAAACACTTTATTTTGATGTGTGAATATAACGAATTAAATAAAATAATTAAACGTTTCAACCCTTTAATTTGGGTCCTTATCAATATAAATAAATCTAATTATGTAAGTAACGCAAAATCCAAAGAAGTGATTCATGCCAATTTAGCTCGTTCTTCTTTATCCAAATGCCAAATTAGATAAAATAAAAACGGAATATCCAGTACATTTTTTTTGCGTCAAACAATAAAACCACATCACACATCAAATTGTCAGATTTAATGTAAGCGTATCTTGCGACTCGACGTAAAGATCTTATGGTGTCGACAGTCAGAGATAAAATATTTCATTCTATATCATTTTATATGTTTGTTAATTAATAAATATATGTATATTTTATATTCTGTTAGTTCTTCCCTAATAAAATGAATGCTGATGAATCAACTTACAATTTAGAATGCGAATTAATTCGAATTCGAATTGAATCGAATCACAGTGGATTTGATTTGATTCGAGAGATTTGAATCCGAAGTTTTGAATAACTCGCCTATTTTATTTGTGCTTAATTGCGCGACTCTCTCTCTCTCTCTTTCTTCCTCCCTCCCTCCCTCCCTCTCCCCATATCAACCTTGCATCAGCGCTTATCAATCTTCATGTAAACGCGAGTGCTTATTGGCTTACATTTTCAAGAAAATACTATTCATTTTGTTTAAGCCAATGAAACTAAATAAAGGTATAAAGCCTAATGTCCACGATACTACAAATCGGTCCGAGATCTCAGACAGAGAAAAAATTAACAAATCACATTTGAACAATTTGATCACATGACCATTGCGATTGGTCAATTCTTTCTTCATCCGAGGTCTCGGACCGATTTCTAGCATCGTGGACACAAGGTTTAATAAAGGAATAAATTTAGCACAATCACTGAACTATATATACACTGGAATAGGCATCTCCGTTGAGAACATAGACATATAAGATATCCAGCATCGGTATACTTTTCTATAGTATATGCTGGGTTTGGCAGAACGGTGCGAGAGGCAAAATATCGGGGCAACCTGTCCTTCTCTGCGCGCGCATCTTGACAATCTTAACAAAATCAAAATGGCTGCCTACGTTAGAATTGTCTGTATTCTTTGCACCTATTATTAATAACTGTTAGTATTGTTTCTTTTGTAAAAAAAATTGAATATGGAGACGTGCAACGCATGTGGGTATCAAAAGAAATTTGAAACAGGAAAAAATATTCTTTCAGACGTAAATAAAACATTTTAACCTCTACTTATGTATATGCATACAATACGTACAACATATGCTTCATTTAAGCGTAACAGAATATTTTTTCCTTGCCCATCAGAATACTGGGTGACGCAAAGTAACACAATGGGCAAAGAATCCAGACGATCCTAACGTAGTCAGCCATTTTGATTTTGTCAAGAATGTCAAGATGCACACGCAGAGAAGGACAGGTTGCCCCGATATCTTGTCTCGCACCGTTCTGCCAAACCCCAACATGTACTATAGATGCTGGGTCTATCTTATATGTCTATGGCCGGTATTCATAGTCGGTTCTTATTTCAAGACCGTCTTAAGTAATGTCTTAAGACGCTAATGCAGCCCTCTGATTGGTTCGTGACTTCTTAAGACTGTACTTAAGATGGTCTTGAATATAAGATCTGACTATGAATACCGGCCTATGAGAAGTATAGAAAATTATGGCCGCAATTGATCAGCCGCTATTTTGGCTGGGTCAGATGCTTGAGCGAATCAAAAGCTTTCAGGTGCTCATGCGCACTTACGTTTAATGTTCTTTAGTAAGACGCATATGGCATACGAGACGGTGATCGAAGTCGCCCTGACTATTGTGAGCAGGACGGACGTGTGTCTTGCCTGCTTTGGTATTGCATCATCTTGCCCACATTTTTTGAAGAGCGTTTTCGGCTTCGACTGTGATTTGCATTACAACATTATTTCATCTATTACTCTTTTAGACTTTTGTTACTCACCGCATTAGCGGCATTTTCGATTCTGGCCGTATCGACGCTGTATAGAGTCGGGGCCATTCACACAAGAAGAAGAGACGGTGATCGTTTACCGACATGATCGAACGTGTTATTGCGTCATTTTTGGAAAGTGTGACCGGCTTCAAACGCGCAATTGAGTTTATATTACTCTTTTAGACTTTCGTATTCTGTATATTGGTCGCGTTCAACAGACTCAACTGTTGTGGAGCAGATCCGTGAGCGCTCGCTGCTATTGGATGATCTAGAAGAATACACCAATAGTAGCGAATGCTCACGGATCTGCTCCACAACAGTTGAGTCTGCTGAACGCGACCATTTTCACGCGAAGAAGAGGACGCATATGTCAGCAAGATTATCGTGTGTGAGGAGGTTATATTTGAAGGATTATAAAATCGCGTGACTGTCTACAAAGCATCAACATGAAGTGCTGTGTGTCTGGGTTTGGGCAGAGAAGTAAAAAGGGCCTTTCATTTCATAGGTAAAAATAATTGAAGTGACATTATTTTTGTTTATATACTATTCATATCCATATAGATTTCCATACATCGATAGTACGATACATCGATCGCAGCACACGCGCGAACGTTTCTGATTCGCTCAAACATCTGACTTGGTCAAAATGGCGGCTGATCAATTGCGGCCATGAATTTTCCTCGATGCCCATTCCAGTGTATATATAGTTCAGTGAGCACAATTAGCTTTGAATTAGGTTTCGACACACTGAAAAAAACGTTTTGTACATATAAACATTCATTTTTTTGATCACCAAAATTTACGACAACCAAATTTTTATTAGAATAACAAATTTGGTTAGAATAAGAAAAATTTTGGTTAGGACAACACAATTTTTAAATAAAAAAGTAAGAAAGTTCTTATTAGTCACATATCAACAAAATGGATGATTGGATGGTTATATATGCGTATACTAAACATTTCTCTCAGTGTAGAAATAAATATATATATATATATATATATATATAGTCACTATTTTCTTGAAAATAATATATTATAACCGCGAT